TATACACTTCCTGTGCTGTCAAAAGTTAAAACAAGAAGCAAGATCTCATTCTCACACAAATTTGCAGTAGATATATTTTCTGAGCTCCAACTACAGTTCCAGCAGAATTTTTCAGAACTTCATGCCAAGTGCAATGGAAATTTCCATATTTCAAAATCTATTTAATTGGGCAATTGCGGAGTTTCCACCCAACCTTCAACTGAAGAGGATTAATCTGCAATGTAAAAACAAGCTAAAAGGCAAATATCTAGAGAAGAATCTAAGATAATTCTATACATGCCATCCCACAATGAATATGCTCAATTAAAATCATGCAGCATTGGCAGTACCATCTGGCTGAGAGACATTTTCAAAGATGAAATATACAAAGTCTCATTACAGCTCAGCATTGACAGCTCAATATTTGATGACAGGGTCACGGATTTTGAAACCCAATTAAGCAAAATATTATCTCAAAAGAATTCCATTATTCTCATCAGTATACCTGGATTATAAAAACGTTACACTCAATTACTATGATATTTTGAATTTCATTTTCAAAAAAATTGTAGAAAAAATTTTTTGTCATTAGACAAGAGAACATTCCAGATAGGTAAAACAGGTGGTGCAAATATTCTGAGGTATTAAGATGCTCCTGTTTTAGAGGATTTTCTATAGGAGCCAGTGAGGAGAATCAGGAGACTGGAGCAGGATTACATATTTCTTGATTTTCCTCTTATCCTGTAAAGCTTAAAATATTTGCTATCTGGACCTTTACAGAAAAATTTGGTGACCCCCCCCCCCCCCGGACTAAAGGGTTGCACAGAACTGACTTCTTTGAGATAAGTGTGAGAGGGGAATCAGTGTTCCCCTGAGTGAATTTCACTAAAGGCCCTCCAGAATGCTCTGAAATCCAGAGGAAACAAGAAAATCTGCCTTCCAGCTCAAGTGACAAGAAAGTGGACATTTTATAAAAGAGGTGGTAGAGCAATTAAAACTAAATTAGAAAATGCCAGGGGGACCATGACCACACTTTAAAACACTGGAGTAAAGTTGGCCTGTGTTTTCTAGAGGGGTCCGTAGAGCTTCTGGATATGGCAGCCAAGCCTCGTTCAGAGATGTCACCCTCAGAAAGAAGTGATTAGTAAGTTGATATTTTAAATAGTGTAGCATGGGACTTCCCTGGTGGTCCAACGGTTAAGACTCCGTGCTCCCAATACAGGGAGCCTGGGTTTGATCCCTGGTCGGGGAACTAGATCCCGTACACCACAACGAAGATCCCACGTGCCACAGCTAAGACCCGGCACAGCCAAATAAATAAATATAAATAAATAAATAGTGTGGCATGGAAAATTATAATGGGGATGTGAACACTATTTTATTAGTATTGCAGAAGCAAACTAATAGGAGGGGAAGAAAAAGAAAATAATCAATAAGCTCCTTTTTTGTTTTAGGGAGATAAGCTTGGAAATATATATGAAACATGGGAAAGTAGTAACTGAGAACTGCAGAGCCAGAGGGAAAGTTTACTGCACGGAGGGAAAGGTCTCCAAGGACAAGTCTAATTAATGCAGTGGAAACAGGTCAACCAGCCCTCGTGGAGAGCGCACCTGAGAACCGCTGACCTGATCAAGTCAGTGTGGTAAACACACTTCCTGCTTCTCCCCCTACACAGTCACACCTCTTCTACCCTCAGTATCATTGCTAGGAAAAAACCCAGGGCAGGAGGGAGGGACAGATGCTTGTTCTTCTGGGTCCTCAGTAAGGCAGCAATCTAGGAAGTTGGCCTGGCCTTAACCATCACCCGCAGAGTTGGACCTGCGCAGATAGGGGAGAATAAAAAGTCAATGGCGGGTCCCAAGGTTGTGTCCTCAGTTCAGAGGCAGCCTCGGGGATAGGAAGTCAGGAATCCTGGCAAGTTGCTCAAAAAGCCTTGTCAGTCCTTTGAATCTAAACCATAAATATCTTAGAATACAAGTGTAAGTATAATGCCATCTGGAAACCCTGGGAATGAGCAAGCTAAGGCAGAATCACAAATCTTTGTTTTAGCCGTTTTTTTTAATGCTTCCTTGTTGCTTGTCCATTCATTTCCATTCTGTTATCTCTTAGCATCTAGAACGTTTTCTGGAAAAAAAAATTTTAAGCTTGTCTCAGGTGTGCTAAGGAAAATTAAAGTACTTAATTTTTTTATTGTGAAAAATTCCAAACATATACGAAAGTAGAATAATATAATTAACACAAACCCTCCCCGCCACACACAAGCACATCAGGTCTCCAACTTCAACAATTATCAACAAGGCCATTCTTGGGACTTCCCTGGTGGCCCAGGGGTTACAACTCCGCACTTCCATTGTGGGGGGCATGGGTTAGATCCTTGGTCGGGGAACTAAGATCCTACATGCCAGGGGGTGCAGCCAAAAAAAAAAAGTCATTCTTGTTTCACCTTGATCCAATCCACACCCTATTCCCCACTGGACTTTTTTTTTTCTTTTTTTGGCTGCGTTGGGTCTTCATTGCTGCACGCGGGCTTTCTCTAGTTGTGGTGAGCAGGGACTACAACTACAGCATTGTAGTATGCGGTCTTCTCATTGCAGTGGCTTCTCTTGTGGAGCACAGCCTCTAGGCACGCAGGCTTCAGTAGTTGTGGCCTGCGGGCCCTAGAGTGCAGGCTCAGTAGTTGTGGCGCATGGGCTTAGCTGCTCCGCAGCATATGGGATCTTCCCAGACCAGGGCTTGAACCCGTGTCCCCTGCACTGGCAGGTAGATTCTTCTTTTATTTTTTTTTAAATAAGTTTATTTTTATTTTTTAAATTTATTTTTGGCTACATTGCATCTTTGCTGCTGTGCACTGTGCCACCAGGGAAGTCCCAGGAGGAATTTTTAAAGAGGGAAGTGTGGCACTCTGGCAGCAGAATGGTGGCGGTATCTGAAATCCAACCCCTCCACGCTACTCCAAGATTGACATTCCTATCTGGTGCTAGAATTTACTTTAGAGGGCCTCAGTTTCCCTATAAGCAAAACAAGGAAAATGGACTAAATTATAGGCAATAACTGTGTAACAGTGAAATGAGCCCTTGACTTTGAGTCAAAAGACCTGGATTAAGAGTGCCAGCTGTGGGACTTCCCTGGTGGCACGGTGGTTAAGAATCTGCCTGCCAATGCAGGGTACATGAGTTTGAGCCCTGGTCAGGGAAGATCCCACATGCTGCGGAGCAACTAAGCCCGTGTGCCACAACTACTGAGCCCGCAATCTAGAGCCTGCGAGCCGCAACTACTGAGCCTGTGTGCCACAACTCCTGAAGCCCGCATGCCTAGAGCCCCTGCTCCACGACAAGAGAAGCCACCACAATGAGAAGCCCGCACACCGCAACAAAGAGTAGCCCAGCTCGCTGCAACTAGAGAAAGCCCGCGCACAGCAACAAAGACCCAACACAGCCAAAAATAAATAAATAAATAAAAATTTTAAAAAGTGCCAGCTGTGCCTCTTGCAAATTATGTAAATTACAATAACTTATGTAAGCAAGGCACTTAACCTCTCTGAGGTTTAATTTTGGATCTATGAGATGCTCACTAAATATTTTTTCTATTTCTTAATTTTGTATCTATATGTTTACTTGTTATAATTATTTTATGATGTACATAAATCAAATCATTATGCTGTACACCATAAACAGTGCTGTATGTCAATTATATCTCTATAAAACTGGAAGATAAATGAAATACATTAGAAAATGAAAAATATATATATAAGACATGGAAAGATTCAGTCAGTCAGTTGAGCTAGGACTGCAACCCAAGCCTTCACCTCCAAATTCTGAGCTATTCAAATTGTGCTCGAAACTAATACAACACGAAACTTTGTGGGGGGAAGCTGAAAACCTGCTTTGCTGAGTCACAAAATGCACTAGACCGTGACACTTCCCCCGGAGTTTACACCGGAACAGACATCACCCATCACCCTACAATGTAGGCCAGGCTCAACCCCAGGATGCGAAGGGCCACAATGAGAGTCCGATGACCAGGGGTCTAAGAATGGGCTCGTGCTGCCAGCGTCTCCCTTTCCGGACACTGTTTCTCCTCTGTCCGGTTCCGGGCTGCAGGTTTACCTCAACAGTCATTCATTCCACCAAGATTTGAGCATCAGCTCAGGGTGGGACGGTGCGCCAGGCTCAGAGCTGAACGAGGCGAGGCAGACCAGACCCTGCTCCCTTAAACTGACTGTCCAGTGCGGGTCGGGGCGGCTGGGGTCCGGGGTCCCAGGGGGCTACGCCCGACAGCTTTCGCACCTGCCCGGCACCACCTGAGCGTAAGCAACGGTCGGCTCCGCGACCCCTTAACCTGGCCGTCCCACTGCTCTCACCCCGGTCCCGCGGGGCCCATCGCGCCCGTCAGCTCACCTAGGGGCCGCGCCCCCGGCCGAACCCAGCCTGCGCTTCCCGCTTTGTTCCCAGAGCGGGTTCTGGAAGGGCCGCGCGCGCCCAGCTCCAGCCGCTTCCAGGCAGCGCCCCCAGCTGCCTGGGAGGGCGCGCGGGGGCGCGCACAAGCGGCACACGCCCGTCCCGCATGCCCGCGCTCCCGATTGGCCGCGCCTAGTGACGTCACCGGGAGGCCCCGGCGGCCGCTGGGAGCCGGCGCCCGCGCATGCGCAGACGGAGGGTGCTGAGCGGAGGGGGAGGTGGCTGGCCGCTTCTCCCGCGTCCGCCATTTTGTTGCTGTGGCTCTTGGGAGCTGGCTGGGCGAAGCGGGTCTGGCCGCGCGGCGCTCCCGGGGGTCCGGTGCTTGGCTTGGCCTCGGGGCTCGG